GTGATGAAGACCAACTTTCAGTGAAACAATCACAATCCAATCAATATGACGCCTTTAAGTCCATCATTTTGGTGTGATTAAGTAGCAATATTTCTCTGCAGATGATGAGGTTGTGGGGTGTGATACATCTGAAATACACAATTGAGTTTAGAGTTACAGTGTGTCCATGTGTTTGTGTAAAAACAATTATGTTTATGAAGGCCAAAAGCAAAAATGGACAGTATGTGAGCCCTTCACAATCTTAAAAGAAAAAAGTGATATAAAGTCATGGGATAGTTTTAATATTTTTTGTGACTGGGTACATAAACCCAAGTAATAATTAAAAAAATCTAACAATATGAATTATACATTTATTGTCTCTTTTACTTAGTGGAGAAGAGGAGAGAAGTTCCCACAGCGTAGCAGAGCTGCACACACTTATATGTGACCAAAAACTAAAAACAAAAGATAAGAACATGTTTGTTTGGAAGCCAGTTACATTTTTAAAGTTACATTTGTATTTAAATTTTAAGAATGAAATCATTTACCTGTTGAGTGTGTGTTGACAGTCTGTGTAGTTGGATCACTGAACTACAGAAAATCAGTAATGAGGTGCTTTGTCAGTTACAGATTTGAAAAACAAAAGGGCGAGAATAAAGAACCCTAAACTCTAACACAAAGAACCGTTTCAGCATGAAAATGCTATGGTTCTATAAAATCAGCATTTGTGGAAAGCTACAGGAAACAGTGTTAAATGCTGTTTGTATTCCATTTTACTTTCATAATCATCAACATTTCTTGAAATTAAATGAGAAACATGTAGGAAAGGACTTTATCCATTACAAATTGAATCATGAAAATTGGATGTTAGAAGGGATCACTGAACTACAGAAATCAGTAATGAGGTGCTTTGTCAGTTACAGATTTGAAAAACAAAAGGGCGAGAATAAAGAACCCTAAACTCTAACACAAAGAACCGTTTCAGCATGAAAATGCTATGGTTCTATAAAATCAGCATTTGTGGAAAGCTACAGGAAACAGTGTTAAATGCTGTTTGTATTCCATTTTACTTTCATAATCATCAACATTTCTTGAAATTAAATGAGAAACATGTAGGAAAGGACTTTATCCATTACAAATTGAATCATGAAAATTGGATGTTAGAAGGATATTGTTGGAAGGGAGGACTTGAAAGTAAGGAAACAGAAGGAAAACTTTATTACATCTTGATCAAATATAGACAATAAAGATTTTTACTTAAAATAATATATGCAATGATTAATTGTTCACATTAAGAACAAGATTGTTAAAATAAATAGAGTCTGTTTCGCATTCAAGTTGATTTTAAAGACAAAGAGGACTGCTCAGTCTTTCAGCAGATCAATATAAAGTTGCAAGCGCTTGCAGCTTTTAAGGTCTGCTTTTCATGGAGCATTAAACAGTGCAAACATTGTCCTGTTGCTGAGGTGTTTTAATCTCCTTCATTGACTTCATCCATTCATGTTTCCTAAAATTCAGCACAGCTTTAGCGTTTTAAGGATTTAGACTGTCTCTCTCCTCTATAAAACAGACAAGGACTATCTTTGTAGCATTTCCCTTTGGGCTCAGGGTGTTGTTCATGTGCATTAGCAGGATTAGGGGAAGTGAAGCCTGAGAGTATCCTAAGGTTGAAGGAAGCCAAGGAGAAATAAGAAGGATTTTACCAGTACTGTGTAGGAAACCGTGCCAAATGATTTGTTCTTGCACCACGTAGCTCCACTCTTTCACCTTTAGTATGAGAGGATTAAATATGGAGTGTGCTGACACTTTCCAAGGACAACCACTCAAGCAGGTGCCACTTCATAAGCTTCAAGTTCAAAATCCTTTTTATGATGCAGAAGTACAGAATGTTCAAGGAACCTTCATTGTTTGCGAACTCTTGTATGTACTGTTTGTTGCTGCCGTGTGGTTTGAGTTTGAGCTCCGTCAAGTTAATTCTTTGTCGTCTAGAAGAATAAAATAGGTGATGAGATTCAATACTAATGAAAAGGGGAGGGAAATTGATTTAGAACTTAATCAGAGATTCTGAGCAATGCTCAGTGTAATAATCTATCTGGCAGATAATTGTTATTCAGCCCTGAACAACAGCATGCCACACTACATTTCAGGAGACGCGAGATGCAAATGTTGTGTCGGAGCAAAATTTTGTATAAACAGTATAATCACATGCATCATGAATAATTTTAAATTTTGATTTACAAATTAAAATTTTACATCACTGAATCTTTATCTAATGACATTGATTCAGAATTTGTAGGAAGAAAACATGGTTCTATTTTACTTGGATCTAAACAGTGCTGATGAATACATTTTAATACATTTTACATGAATACATTTTAATACAAAACTAATTTGACCTCTACCACGTACAACTCAGACAACCTCCAGCTGTCAATAAGATAATACAATACTACAGTACCCATTTACTACAATCCAATACTTTCCTTCCTGAAGTATCATGACAGTGTCCCGTCAAGAAAATTATATCACTACCTCAAACCACACATGAGCACCAGGTCTTTAGCATCTATACATTCTCACCGCCCTTCTCAGGTGTACGCTGGTCCGACACAGGATCAATTCTAACTCCGAGTATTACAGCCTCACCCCGAGAGTGGGTCTATAGTCTTCCAACACTATCACTGTCTCTGCTGTGGTCCACTGAGCACAGAATCTTTAGTACTTCTATTCCTCAGCTGCGCAGCATATACAGACACGACTACCAAGTTGCTCTTTGCAGGAATAAAAATGTATTCATGGCCGGGAGCCCACTGGTCACAACAACCAAGAGAGACTCCCTGAACAGAAATATACATGTAAATTTATACCTTGTAGTTGAGTAAAAATCAATGTCACTCAAGACTTTTTCACTGGCGATTGGTTATACTGATCTGGTCATTAGTTTGTCATATGACTGTTAGTTCGACTGTTTTAAGCACTTTTTGGGTAAGTATAGATTATTTATTCATAGATGCAATTCTATCCATTTCTATCTATTGAACATATACCCTTTTGACCCCTTCTGAGGCCAGTACATAAAACATTTCCATCACAACAGTTCGAAGGTGTTAATGTCATATTTGCACAACAATATTCCCTCTTTTCATTGTCATGCTTACCAGGACAAAGATTCATCACCATGGAATTTTATTTATCACCACAGAGCCCTCTGATAATTTTTCAAAACATCCGCCTTCAATGCACAGGTCAACCCAGTGAGCCCACAGTCATGCTAAAACAGCTGTAACAAACATCAAATGCAAGACAACATAGAAAATTAGTTACAAAATGATAAAGGCATAATTCACCCACAAATGAAAATAATGTTTTCAACTAAAGTCAGTGGGAAATAATGTTTAGCCTCTATAAAATTCTCCAAAGCATCTTCTTTCGTGTTCCGAAAGATAATCAAAGAGGTTTGGAATGACATGACCAAGAATCATACAGTTTACAGTTCTCAATGTAAAATCTAGATCCGGTAAGGTTTGGAGAAAGGTCACTGAAATCCAATCTGATTCTCATTGCCCTTTTTGCTGAAAACTATTAGATGCTGTTCTATTGTTCACCCCAGAAAGCTACGACCCAGTATTCAGCCAAGAAAGCCTTGTTACGTCTGTCTGCTTTGCTTTGAAAAGAATGACTGTCAACCCCTGCTCTATCTACTCTGTTGCTTAGCAACGGCTGGTGCGTCTTCCGAGAAGAGCTCACTCTTTCTTCTTTTCTGAATTTCCTCTCTCTTATTTTCTGTACATTTGAATTGGCATGGAGCATGACGGTTTGTCCTGGAGAAGAATAATAAACAGTTCCCAAAGGTCAAACTATATTTGCAAGGGTTTAGGCAAAAACTTAATTAAAGTTGCACAAAAGATGTTATATTCCAAAGCAAACAGTACCACTAATGCCAGAACGTGCAGGACACTCTTTTTCATCTTTTTTTTTATATATAGATATATATATATTCAGTGTAATACCGGAGGTGGTGACGCATTTAACCTGGATGAGCAGTTTTAACTGCCTATTCATCAGGCGGGATTTTACAGCATGTTAATGAGGGCACCGTCCTCTCTCTTCTGAGCCTGTTGCTGTGAGACGAACCAAAAGTCATGTGAATGTTAAAGAGGGGGGGGATGGGGGGGTGAAACTATGTGTTGAAATGCACAATGCTAATAAGTAACCATGCAATAAAAGGACAAGTAAGAGAGAAAGACAAAATGATAAAGGCCAGAGAGAGAGAGAGAGAGAGAGGGAGACAGGGTGAAGAGAACTGAAAGGCAGAAGCAAAAGTTAAAGCAGGGTCTTAATGGACAGATACAGTCTGAGCATGAAATGGACCGTCTTGTAGTTTCTCTTATGTTTGATTCATTATTGCTAACATTTATTATGCTCTACCTTGGGAACAGATAAAATGGCAAATATTGTGCACCTGCCTCTCATTTGGATTCTCTGTGTTTTTACAAGCTGCTTCAGTGGTGAGATGTTTTATCTGCCTTGCTCAGTAATGGATATTATTTTTGCTAATTGTTTTCAATCATTGAGCATTACATTATGTGACTTGTGTTCGCTATTTGTGGATGCATCTAATATGAGCACAATGTTTTTTTCATATTTCATGCTTTCCACTAGAATATTATTGCCCAAAGGGGGCAAAAATTGACCGTGATGGTTTACGCTGCTACTGGATGCCCACATTTAAGTCAACATGGCTAGAAGCAAAAGGCATCTGTCAGAGAGACGAGAGAGGAGACCTTGCTATGGTGGACAGTGTGATTGCACAGACCTTCATTCAAAATTCATTCCAACTGTAAGAGATCACAAGATTTTTTAGGGTTTTGCGGGCAAGATCGCCTTTTTTCCCCAACATAAATATTTAAAAGGCAATGTATAAACACAGAGCATTGAAACTTCTGTAATGGCTGATCCTGTATTTGCATTTACTTTGTGTAAATTCCAGAGAAGCTCCAGGGGTTTGGTTGAGAAATGGGATGGCACAGGGTCCTTTCTATGATTTAGATACTGAAGACAGTGAGATGAAGGAATGTACTTCAATGGCTTTGGCCTCCGGAAAGTGGATAAATGAACAATGTAATAAAGAAAATTTCGTTATATGTGGGAAAAAGATCTCAGGTAAGCCAATAAAACTGTTTTAACCACACTGATAAGACAAGAAAATGACAACCAAATTATCATCATCATCATAGAGACTAAATGGTGGGCAAATAATCACCTGTATTACAACACACTAGCATTAACCTTTACCTTCATTACTGTTGTGGTGGTGTGTTTTGACAATCAAGACAAAAGAGGGGGAAAAAGTAGTTTAATTATTTATAATCACTGAACTCAGCATTATACAACTTTATTTATGGAAATAAAATACTAGCATTACAGTGCTAGCAGCTAGGGGGTGACAAAGCACATCATACATTTGTTTACATTTGAGTCATTTATAGCTCGCATTCAATTAATATAAGTTACAAATATACAAGAATATTACAAATTCTTTATCAGAGCTGACAGCAGCATAATTAACTTTTTTTTTAAGTGTTTTTGCCATCGCTGGAGAGCTATGTGGCAGGTGTCCCACTAATGTCTGGCATATACATAGTGTCCCGGATACAACTGCTACCGTCTCCACCAGACCCAGGACAACAAATGGTTGAGGTAAAAAAAATTAAATAAATAAGCTCACTGAATTGTTAATCAAGCGATCTGAAGTTTCGGACAAAATATAGTTTTTAAGCTAATAAAAATTAGACTGTTAAAGATATGCTACCTTTCAAAAGTTCAGGGTTGGTATGATTTTAATGGATTATAACTGTTATGTTAACCAAGGCTGCATTTATTTAATAATAAAAAAAATCAGTAAAAGCAAAATGACAGTATTTTGTGAAATATAATTACATCCTAAAATAAAGATTTTATTTTTTAAATATATTTTAATATTTTATTTATTACTGTGATGGCAAAGCTCAATTTCCAGCAGCCATTACTCCATTACTTCAGTGTCACATGATCCTTCAGAAATTCTTTTAATATGCTGATTTTGTATCACTATCAATGTTGAAAACACTTTTGTTTAATATTATTGTGAAAACCATTATGTATTTTTTTCATGATTTTTTAATGAATATAAAGTTCAAAGTAGTCGCATTTATTGGAAATAGAAACCTTTTAAAACATTATAAAAGAACACAGTGTTGATCTTGATCAGTTTAATAATAAAAATATTAATTGCTTTCTTATCCAAAAAAATGTACTGATCCCAAAATTTTGATGAGTTTTCTCTATAAAATGGCAATTTTATATGTATAATGTTTTTAAAAAACAATTACAGTGGCATTCACTGAAAAGGAGCCGCCCTTATAAAATGCTCCGGTTATTAACGTAACGTCTAGGTTACTTGTGTAACCCTCGTTCCCTGAAGGAGGGAACGGAGATGTTACGTCAGTGACTGACGAATTGGGATCTCGCCCGAGAGCGCACGTATCCGGTCCGTAGAGGGGAATGGGGGGAGCTGTCCAGACAGCCATCGAGGTGCCAAATATGAAGGCTCCACAACTCGAGCTGGGGATGCCAAATCATGCCTCTCGCCTGAGTGAGAAGGTCTGTCCTGTCGACCAAGGGGCTGCTGATAGCAGCTGAATCAACTCTGGGAATCATGTCTGGTTCCTCCGTCTGATGACCTGAGGAAGCAGGGCAATTGGGTGGAAGCATACAAGTGAGCGCTGGGCCAATCGTTGGGCAGAGCATCTCGCTGTTTTTAGAAGTAAACTGGGCAGTGAAAGTTCTCTTCTCAGGCAAAGAGGTCCAACTCTGCCCTCTTGAAGACAGTCCAGATTGTCTGAACTATCTGGGCATGTAGTCTACATTCTCCTGGTGCTACATCGCCCCTGGACAGCATGTCCACTCTTAGTTTAGTCTGCCCGGCACTTGAACTGCTCTCAGTGAAAGTAGTTTGCCCTGTGCCCATAAAAGGAGGCGTCGAGCCAACCTGTTGAGGGAGCATGACCTGAGACTGCCTTGGTGATTAATAAAGGCTAGGTTTTTAGGGCTAGGTCTTCAGAATCCAGCGGGGAGATAATCTTCGCACTAAAGCAGAAAAATTCTGACGAAATGGCACTCAGAGCCGGCTCCTCCCCTTTTGGCAGGTTGAAGCGCCATTTATTCGTGCAGCTACAAAAATGTGAACAAACCAGGCTTCACTATTTAGAGTAACCAGGAGTTTACCCCATAGTGTTCAACGTAACGGAGAGACTGTTCAAAAGGGAACAAATGATTTCAGACAAAGGGGCAGAATATGCTCATTGTTCATTTGTCTGCATATGTGTTTATTGAAAATTTGCGAAAATGCACGTTAAGTCATGTTATTGAATAACAATGTTTGTTGATAAGTCATGTTTAAAACACACACACGCATGTTTGTATATGTGGTTTACAGGGACTCTCCATAGGCATAATTGTTTTTATACTGTACAAACTGTATTTTCTATCCCCTTACCCTTACCCTACCCCTAAACAAAAAAATTTAATAAAAAAAAAACAGTTTAGTATGTTTTTTAAAGCCAATTGGTTTGTGCACAGATTATGTTGTTCCCGGGTCTTTGGTTCAGTCATGAAGGTCGAGTCCTGTCTTTGGATTTGGTGACGCAGCCAAGTGATCAGCTGACCTTTGCTAGAGTGCAAATCTTACGGCCGTACTGCAGCCCAAGTCATCACCTAGTACCACCTGGTGAGCAAATTAAACTAATGAGAAACACATTGTTAACAGTAATCAAATTATCAGGTCAAGATGTACAATTTATAAAACATCTTCTCTCTCAGGTTGTAGTTCTCTCCTGAACCCTTTTAGCTGCTGTTCAGTGACGCCCATGTGCAACACCACTGGTGGCTGTGCCAGTGGGCAGTACTGGTGTCACCTGCTGGAGATCTGTCTGCCCGTCACCAGTCCGTGCAGCCCTTACCACTCCTTAAACGGGGGACATGTATTCCCTCTGCCTCCTCGCTACCCTGCGACGCCACCGTTCTTCCACTTGATGGCAGACATGTCACTGACACTGACCCCAAGCACTGAACACACACACATCAGTGTAGGTGGCAGCACTTGACTTGTTGACTTGTTTGAAATCTAATTAGCATAAGTCAGCGAAAAAGTTGTAAATTAATTATTTCTCTTAATTAATTAATAACTAATTTCTAATAATTATTTTACAGTTTAAACCTGTATATTATCTTAAAATGTCCACAAAGTAAAATAATCCATTGGACTGTACTAAACAATAGGCCTAGCAACAAGACAAGCACTGCAACAATATTACAGTAATATTAATACTGAAGTCCTTCAAGGTCATATTCAGTAAAGTTGACAACTGAAACAAAAACAATAGCACTAATTGCAGAGTAAAGAGTGACGTGACACTGCGTTCATTTATACACAAGCAGCTCATGATCTGGTGTTTTCAGCATCTCAGAGCAACTCAGTTTACAGTCAAGCAGTTAACTCCATCTTTACATTTACATTAGTTTAAAGGTCATTTGGGAACTCAGTGTGTGCCAGGTTTACTTTATTTACACATTTGCATAATTTCCAAAAATTTTTGTGGACAGAAGTTTACGGTGTTTCACCAGCATTCCATCAAAATAAAAGCTTTAGGCTTTGAAATGTTGAAAACTTAAGAGTTTGAACATTTGGAAAGTGAAGAATTTAAGGCATACTCGTTAGGTCTGTTATTATATTAAGTTTGATTAGATTCCTAAAGCACCAGGGTGACAATTAACCAAAATCAGAGAAACATGAAAATGCAAAGTTAAATTTCAGGAATTTAATTTTACCTGTCCACCATCTTGGATTTATTTTGTAACTTTTAAACTTATTTTAGTAGTCTTAATTATGCTAAAATTAGGATGCAAATTCATTTTCTAGGCAGCTCACTAGGTTTCTGGAACAGAGCCCATTTCACAGCTATTAATTTAACTGATAGTAGAAAGTTTGACAATGACCTAAAATCAAAGACACTTATTTTTGTGTTTTTGTAGGTTATAGTACAAGACAAACATATCACTGTCTATCCTGATGACATTCTGGCATTGCAGCACACTAGAAGAGCAAGTGAATTTCTACATTGTGTTGCCACTACCAGCTCATCCTGGCGCCAGAGTTACCTCTCCCTGCATGGGCCTGAGTGGGGGGGCTGGTTAGAGGGGGGTCTGTCTGCCCAACCGGGACAGGGCCAATGGCTTGATGAACTGGTCTGTGACCTCCGGGTGATTTACGAGGACACAATGCCACACTTCGGGGTTTCAGCAATACCCAGCACCTCACAGAGCAACAGTCCAATCAAAGCAGAGAGTCCTGTCACAGGGTTGCAAGTTTTATATCCAAAGCTTGACAAGGACATCCAAATGCATGTTGCTGTCAATGTCCCAACCCTCATTGTCATCCAGATCATTTCAGGAGGAAACGCAACCAGTTACTGGTCAGACCCTGTGTCTAAGAACGGAGTCCCTTTTGTATCTTCTTGCCCTGCTGAGATGCCTGAGATTGAAGGAGGGTGTGTTAGGGCTTCTCTTGACATGTGGTTCTCTCATGTATACATGAAGCTTTCTAGTCAAGGGGAACATATGCTAAATATCATGGCTTCAAACAGCTTGAACTCCCAGACTCTGAGCGTGAGAGTTGTGTCTCATATTCCTGTAACTGGGCTGAGAATCCAGCCTCAGGGCTTCAACAGAGTTCTAGTGGACATACCACAGGTATCAATTTTCTTATGTGTGTCATTGCGAAAAAAAATATTACCTCAAAAGTTCACCAGTAACCTTTTCGAATTTGATGTGCTAATGGTATTTACTTGGTATTTGAAGAAAAGGTTTCTAGAATGTCATAACTAGACTTTAAATGAGGTACGTGCTTACTCATTTTTTTTGTTTGTTTGTTTCTCTCTCTCTCTCTCTCTACAGTTGTTTACAGCTTCAGTAGTTACAGGTTCATCAGTGAAGTATACTTGGGTTATTGATGACCTGGTCCAGTTTCCACAAACAGGAGAGTCCTACAGCGTGGTTTTTAAGAAGCCGGCAGAATACAAGCTAAAGGTAAACGTTAATATAACAGAAAAATTTCCAAGTACAAGTTTAAACCCCTTTGTGAAACTGAGCCTAAAGCAATGATACAGTGATCAAGATCCTTTAAATCAGTGGTTCTGAGCTGGTTTTGCGTCAAGATCAAAGACAAAATTCTTTGTTTTTCAATTCAAACTTTAAAATCTATTAATATTACAATTAACTGCATTTGCAGAATGATAATTTGAATATTTACTAACAAATTGAAGTGACTAACAAATAAAAAAATATTTTTAAAGAGTGCCAAACTATTAACATCAACATAGGCTTATCTTTATAGATAAGACTATTTGGTTCCTAAATGTTGAATTTCATTGGGTCCATGCTCTCTGCAGCCAATAATTCATCCCACAAAATTATTTTTGGTAGTGGCACAATCCATATTTATCTTTGTTTTAAGTGAAAATAGTGGAAGTTTATTTGGATGTACAACCTTTGATGTAAACAATAAAAATAAATGTAAAGCATTTTCTCTTTTAAAAGTAGATAAAACAATTTATTTTGTTAAACTACTTATGCATGATTATTTATCTATTATAAATAAATCTGCATTTTATTATTTGCATTTAGCAGCATTGCTGTTTTCCTGCCACCAGTGACCCTGTCACCCGTTTTGAAGTCATGACCCACCAGTTGAGAATCATTGCTTCAGGTTTTGTTATGAATGAATTCATGTTTATAATTTCTTCAGATCTTTACTGCTTACTCTGCTCTAGGTAATGGCAAATAACCCTGTGAGCTCTCAGTTAATTGAGGTGAAGCTCACAGCTGATGTGATGACCCCATTAGCTGACCTAGAAGTAATTTCCATGCCAGAGGCCATTGCTGTAAACACCTCAACTTGCTACACAATTCAAGTAAAATCTGACATCTCTATAGGCGTTACAATCAGGTTAATGTCTCTGAATTATAATTGAGTTAAAATGATGAAATTAAGTTTGACCTCTTCTGAATGTATAATGCTCTATTATGCTATATTATGAAATGATTTATCTCTCCAGATGGGATTTTGGTGATAATACAGCATCTGTCAGTCACCTAGTTTCCACTCCTTTAGAGATGGAAGACAGCTATCTTCACCGAAGTGCCAAATATGTCTATCTGCAAGATTCCATCCATCATACATTTTCTTTTCCAGGTACTATAAATAATTTCAAATTATTTATTTATATTTACTTTATAATTACTTATAAAAATGATTTATATGATATATTTTTGTTTTATAATTATTTATAATTATTAACCTAATATTTAAAAAATATGTATTTTAGTCCTCGTTAAAAGTTTTATCCCTAAAGAAATTAATAGTATTTTTAAAAATTAATTAATATTTAATAAATTAATCAAGACTGATTGCAATACATCATTAACTGAAACTATTTGCTTTTACTTGATGCTGTCAAAACCCTAAATCTGACAGCACAACATGAAATTACTGATACCTTTAAGTGGGAAAAAATACCTTGGGGAAAAAATGACACACTAAATGTATGTAATTATTTATTTATTTTTATATTTTTTTTTTTTAGGTGACTACACACTGAAAATCAAGGCTTACAACCAATATGACCAAAGTGAATCGTTTGTAACTGTTAAAATAAGGACTCCAATATCAAGAATGTTGGTGTCATCATCTCCTACTGTATGTCAAGTCAACCACACCATCCTCTTTGAGATCTCACTATGGCCCTCTTCATACGGAGTGCTTTATTCATGGAATTTTGGCGATGACTCTGATCAAGTTAAGGAATATTACACTAAAGTTAGGCATGTTTATAAAAGACCCGGCACATACAATGTCACCATTCATGCCAACAACTCCCTGTCGGTCTTGACTAACTATACAGCAGTGGAGGTAGTTGAGGCTGTCTCAGGTCTCCAGCTATATTACAACGGCTCCATTGAACTGAACTGCACCTTTGAAATCAGTGGCAGAGTATCTGCAGGCACACATATAAAATGGACCTTTGACTTTGGAGATGGGTCGATACTTAAAGATCACACCGGAAGCTCAGCCACTCACATTTATAAGTCTCTCGGAAATTACACTGTTCAGGTTACTGCTTATAATTCTGTGAGTAAAGATCACCGGTTAGTCAATGTGGAAGTCTATCGTTTGCTAATTTTACTAATTATCCCAACAGACTGCATTGTGAGTAAAGCAGAGATCAATTTTGAGGTATTGGTCAAAGGATACGTTCCAGTTTTGACATTTGACTGGGATTTTGGAGATGGCACACCACTGTCTGTTGTTAAAGGAGATACAGCTATCAGTCATACTTTTCTAAATTCAGGAACTTACACAGTAGGTGTAGATGTTCATAGCTTGTTGGGTTCGGCCCATTATGAAACCAGCATATGTGTTGAAACTCAAATAACAGATGTTACTCTGCATTCAGCCAAGAGTGCTGTAGCTGTGAATGAGGAAATATGCTATGTGGTTTCTGTGCTTCCCAAAGTAACAGATTATCTGTTTTGGTGGTATAACAATCTTTCTAGTGATACAGTCCCAGTTAAAGGCCAGTCACACCATTGCTTTGTTTTTCAAGAGGAGGGTTTGTATGAAATTTCAGTGCAGGTTCATAACAAAGTCAGCAATGGAAGAGCAAAAGCAACCATTTCAGTTCAAAGGCCTCTATCTAATCTATCCATAAAATATGAATGTAACCATGATGCAATGATTGTGAATCAGTCCTATTACTTTTGGGCTGAGCTTCCTGGTAAAATAGCTTCTTTTCAGTGGGACTTTGGTGATGGCTTCAAAAAGGAAGGTCAGAATCAGTCACACGTTTTCTGTTTTCCTGGGCGGTTTCGTGTAACGGCCACCGCATCTAATGTGATAAGTTCAGATTCTGTGTCCATAGAGATTGAGGTTCAGGCACCACTGTCATACTTAATGGTTAATACCAGTCAGCCATTTGTGGAGGCTGGAAAAAAGATACTGATAACAGCTCAGACTGATGTTAATGAAAATGTTGTGTTTTATTGGACTGTGAATCCTTCATCACCTCCAAAGCCTGGGACGTCCACATTCATGCATGTGTTTCCTAAAGCAGGGGTGTTTCAGATTAAAGTCACAGCACAAAATCTTGTCAGTCGAGTAGAATCCATAACACACATTGAGGTTGTTGAGAGAATACATGGGGTTCAAATTCCATCTCAAGCGCTACAGTCTGGAAAATATTTCCTGACAAATCAGACCGTACTCTTGACGGCATCAGTGACACGTGGTTCTAACTTGACCTATGAGTGGACTGCAAACCAAAGAATGGCAAGTAATAGCAAACAATTTCCACTTTTTACAAACAGCCCTGGTGATATACATGTCAAGCTGGTAGTATCCAATGTTCTTGGATCAGTAGATACCGACCTTTCACTGAGAGCAGTAGAGCTTGTGTCTGGTCTGAGTATTTCATCACCAATGAATGCTGTAGCCAAAGGAAAGCCAGTGAGGATATCTGTGAGCGTGTCATCTGGAACAGACCTTCGGTACTCATGGTTCCTGGATTCTGAGTATAGTCCTGTAATATCAGATGTGCCTTTTGTTCTGCATGTTTTTAAAGTTATCGGCATGGTCAAGATCAGAGTGTCAGTCTCAAATGTGTTTGGGTCTGATGATGCAATCAAGCTACTAATAATTCAGGAGAACATCTCTAAAGTGGACTTTCAGATAAATGGACAATTCAGACCATTTTTTGTAACATCAAATAGCCTCTTGTTGCTCTATGGCTCTGCAGGAACAGGAAATGTCCTTCATTGGGAATGGGTTTTAATGTTTCACAACAAAACTGTTAGGGTTCTTGCAGACAATCAAACTGTTAGCTATTCTTTTGCGGATGTTGCAGATCACCGTATCTCACTTAATGCCTCAAATGACATTAGCTGGCAAACTGTTTCATATACAATTACGGTTCAGGACACCATCCAGGGACTTTTACTTATGGCTAGCAGCAATGTTATATGCGAGGACGATCCAGTTACTTTCACGCCATCTGTCTCCCAAGGAAGTGAAGTTTCCTTTTCTTTGGAGTTTGTTAATGCAAGTTATTCCGTAGCAATTTGGCAGAATTTTACCACCTCTTCTCTTTCAATCGGAAACCACCTTATAAGAGCAACAGCAACAAATCATGTCAGTTACCAAACTGCATCAGTGATTGTCAGAGTTGTGGAAAGAATTAAAGGTCTGCATTTGATCGGATGTTGCTCTGCTGTTTTAGAGGCATCCAAAAACATCAGTTTTCAAGTGTCCAGTGGCTCACAAGCCAATTACCACTGGACTTTTCTATTAAATGGAGTCCAGTCCTCTCGAGAAATCGGGCAAAATGTTCACTTCACACCTTTCACTAATGGATCCCTGTCTGTTACAGTGGAAACTGATAATGGCTTCTGCTCACAGTCCCTGACCAGAAGAGCAACAATACAGAAGCATATGAAGAAAGTGAAGCTTTTTACCTCTGATGATGGAGCTTTTATTGATTATCCGATCACATTTGTTGCCATCACAGATGGAGGCAGCAACCTTAAATTCCTTTGGGATTTTGGTGATGCCAGTGAAGGAGCCCTGGTTACAGAATCCAATAGACAAGTCCACAAATACAATGTTACTGGTGTGTTTGTTGTGAAATTAATAGCTTACAACAACATAAGTGAGGTCTCCACTCAAATGACAATTAAAGTGCAAAAGCTGGAGTGCACCCAGCCACATGTCTACATTGTAAAAGATCAATATAAAATAATAAAATGCAGACCAAGTTTATTTGAAGCAAAAGTGGACTTCAACAGTTGTGCTACACACAAAGCATATTATTTCTGGGAGATCCACAGGGGCCAAGATTGCTCAGGAATGGACAAGGTGTATTTAAATGATTCAGTGCATGCCACAACACCACTTTTTTCTCTGCCAAAGCACTCTCTGAAAGTAGGAAACTACTGTCTGACATTTACTGCCAAACTTCGAGGAACTCCTCTACAGCAGAGCAGGACTGTACCGCTTACCGTGGTCCACAGTGAGTTGGTGCCTGTGATTAAAGGTGGTTCTCACAGGTTCTGGTCAAGTCAGTATGATCTGATTTTGGATGCAACTGAGTCTTTTGATCCAGATTCAGAGGAGAATGATATCGAGTTGTTTCAGTTCCAGTGGGGTTACACTATAGAGGTACAGTACATCACAAATGCAGTAAATACTTGATTCTCTAACATAAACATTCAATTGATGGTGTATTCTGTGCTTCCAGAACACAACAGCAATGCCTTCAGCTGTTTCCACCCTTCATCAACATATTCCAGGAAATGGAAGTATACTGCTTCTTCCTAGAAGTGCACTGCTGCCAGACAGAATGTACCACTTTACTCTCACCCTTTACAAAAGTGGACGACAACCTGTCTCTATATCACAGTTGGTGAGTGTTGACTAATTTTACTTCACTTTGCTTTCAGCATTTCACTATGAACATATGTGTCATTAATATTAACGTCAGCATTTCCTCACACTCATTACGTACTAAACCTTTATGACTTTCTTTCTTCTCTGGAACATAAGAAAGATATTTTGAAAATTGTCTATTTTTTTTTTGTCAAAAAATAAAGTCAGTGGTGTCTGTTATTTTGGTCCCCACCGACTTTCATTGGACAGAAGCACTTGAAACATTCTTGAAAATATCCAAATGTCTCATTCAGATTTGCACTCTCCACAATTTCTAACCATAGAATAAAGAAAATGTACAGATAAAAATGCTTTGTAATGTTACAGTTTATTCCACATTTTACTGAAAATTATGTTCATGGAAATAATTCTGTTAAAGGGATAGTTCATCCAAAAATTCAAATAATTTAGTCTCTTGTCATTCAGAATGCATAAGATATTTATGCATTATGCATTAGGATAGAGGTTTTTGGTAATTAGAAAAGTAGAAACCCTTCAATATGTCTCCATGTTTCAAAATAAAATGTCTTTACCTCTGTTTTTATTCTTGCAGGTTACAGTGTACAATACCACGTTGCTACCTGTGACTGTAAAGTGTGTCTCCTGTAATTCCCTGCTGTCTTTCCATGTGAGGCACAGCCATTACATTACATTGGCTGGTCATTGTTCTTCATGTCAAGACACTGTACAGGTATTCAATTCACAATGTACCTTATAATAATTTCATACGCCTTCAGTCTCTATCTCTCTCTCTCTCTCACACACACACACACATACCTTAATAATGTTTTAAAACACTTCAACTACAGTACAGGTGGACTGCAGAGAATCAGAAAGGTGAAGCTCTAACACTGAATGAGGTCACTACCTTGACAGGAAGTCTCTGGAGAGAAATAGTCATTAAACCAGGGGTGCTAAAGGAGGGCCAAGAATACACCTTTACTCTCAATGTGTCTGAACCAGCCTCTGGGCTTTGGGGGTCGGCAAGCATCACCTTAGTCCCCAACCATCCTCCATATGGGGGTATTTGCACTCTGTCACCCGATGACTCACTTCATTTCCTAGAAACCATGGTCTCTTACAGTTGCTCAGGTAGTGTCATTTCTCTTCTCCTCTTATTTCTCACCCAAGTAATGGCTCTGCGGATTGATGCATTCTTTGCTATTTTTTTCTCAATGGCAGAGTGGATGGATGATGACAGTGACTCAGCTCAGCTGATATTTTCACTGCAGGTGGCACAGTGTGAAAATTTTGGACCATTATGTCCCTTGATTACCCTTTACAGAGGCACTCAGAGCACATTCAGCTCCCTGGTGCCACTGGGTATACTGAGCACAGAGGAAAACTTATCTGTTATTTACGTGCTGGTACTGGTCGAGGACAGTATGGGGGCATCAGTCATCGCAGCAAGAAAGTTAGTCAGTCAGCTGCTTGGCAGTTGTATATAGTCAGATAAAATTTGACAAAAAAATCACAGCTCCAAAATTACAATTGATATTTTCTGCAGGAACCTGACAGTGGTGCTGAGAGACCAATGTACAACAGAGTGGTTGAGGAATAAGAGCCAGTCAGAGTTATGGGCCTTGCGTCAACAAGGAAACCCTCAGGACATTACTCAATATTCTGTTGCTCTGAGCAGCCAACTTAATCAGGTAACTGAGATAGCCCTGACAAACCAGTTGTCTGGATGTTTATTAAGAGGTGTACTCAGAATCATCCTAATTAAAAAGAGTATTATACTGGATGGATAAAATAGATGATAATAATAATAATCATAATCATAATAATCATAATAAAAACACACACTCACATGAAATGTTCATAATGGTAAACTGAATTCATAACTTCAATGAGGATGCTTTTAAAATTCCAATTCAGTTGTGATTTGTATTTGTGGTAGCAAACCAGATGCCAAATTTTCATTTTAGGAAGTAGAATTATAATAAACTAAAATTCAAATAAACTCATAGAATCATAGTAGGTGTAATTTTATATTAAGAAATTTTAAAGACAGGCAGACAGATACATCTGTTTGAAATGTCACTTCTGTTGACGTGTTTTTATTCATGTATTTAGATAAGTTATGTATATGGAAAATAATGTTGGAAGAACACTTTATTTTCCCAGAATGCCATTATCTGTTGAACTTCTCTGAAATGTAATTGTAATGTAATAGTGCACCTCCCACAGTTCCAGTTCAACTTCCTGTGGGGTGTAGCTATTTTAATTCAAATTCCTACTCATGAACTAAAAGGGGGGCAAGTTCTTAAAAGGATTCACCCAAAAATGAAAAATCTGTCATAATTTACTCATCATGATGTCATCCACAACTGCATGACTTTCTTCTGTGAAACACAAAAGAATATATTTTGAGAAATGTCTCAGTGTTTTTTTCCCTCTGTACAGTGGAAGTCACTAGGGGTCAATGTTGTTTGGTTCCCAATATTCCTCAAAATATCTTCTTTTGGGTTCCACAGAAGAAAGAAAGTCGTACAGGTTTGTAATGCATGAGGGTGAGTAAATGATGACTGAATTTTGGGCAAACTGTCCAAGGGATAGATAATCAGCCATTGACAATATTTGCTTTTTGTGTAGTTGCATCCACACCACGAGGTGTCAGTCAAATACATCTGTCATAAAATACATGATACTTGAGTTTCTGTGATTCTCCACCTATTTTGTTAGAAAATTTGTTTCTGAATCAAAATCAACCACTTCCACAGCTAGCATCCATAAAGGCTGAAGGGTTGGAGGACAGGATTCAGATACGTGGAAATGTCATTCAGGCTCTAGCGTCTCTGCCGGTCTCCTCCTTGCAGGATGCGGCTCTGATCAGCTCAGCTTTGGCCCAGTCTACAGTAAGGCTTTTAACCATTAAAGCTTATGGACAATATATAGCATTAATCAACATTAAACATAGCCTGACACAAAGTATGCCAGCATTTTAGAGATCCAGTATAATGTGATACGAGAAGCTGAGGCCTGTCACTGAATACAGATTTCCTGCTGTGCATAATGAGGAGTGCTACCTAAAATCTAATTATTGTCACATGTGATGTTGCGAATGCAAATGCTTAACTGTAAAATGTACTTTCCTGTCTGCAGGTGGTTCCCTCTGAAGTGCAGTGCAACGGCTGCCGTGCAAAGGTGCTGAAGGTCACAGAGAAGATGATCAAAGTGATAAGAGAACAAACAGGACAGGCTGACATCAACCCCACAGACACCGGCAGGAACATTCTGGCTGTTTTAAGTAACTACGTTCAGCAGAATTCATATTCAGTATGATAACAGAGGTTCACTCTGAAGTTGAAAATGAACCGTGGCTTAACCATCCTTCCATTTTCACTGCAGGCAGCACACTGACTGCTGATCAGAGGCAGAGGAACAATTCAGGCCTCAAGCATGTGGATACATCAGAGACAGCTGTATCAGCACTGGGCCAGATTTTAGAGCTCATGCGTTCATTAATGCTGTCGCGGATGAGTGGAGAAGAAGCTCTCTCTCTCGCTGTTCCTAAGATCACTGCGGTGGGTGTACGGGGTGACCCTACTAAAGACCTCCTGTGCACAAATCCCCTTAGCCACTGCCAGTTTCACATCCCATCAGCACTGAGCTCTCAACTAAAGGAGGAAAAACAAGAGGTTCTGCAGATCCTTCTGCAAATGGAGGGTGAAGAAAACCTATTTATTCCAGCTGCAGAACCTGCTATATCAACCACACTTGCAGCCATGGAGTTTGCTACACCACAGGGACAGATCATTTCAATCACCAACCTGACACTAGACACTGCGATACAATTTACTTTACACAAAAAAGTACAAGAGACGGAAGATGAGAGGTTACTATGGAAAACATTTACTCTGCCACCCAAGGGAAATGTAAATTTTACAGTCAAAGCAATGGACCTCAGAGATCCTCAGACTGGCCTCTATGTTGCCTTAAACTTCAGTCTCATTCCAGGTAATATACACTAGCCAGTGCATCTTTAGTTTTCAGTATATAATATAATATAATATAATATAATATAATATAATATAATATAATATAATATAATATAATATAATATAATATAATATAATATAATATAATATAATATAATATAATATAATATAATATAATATAATATAATATAATATAATATAATATAATATAATATAATATAATATAATATAATATAATATAATATAATATAATATAATATACATAACATAACATAACATAACATAACATAACATAACATAACATAACATAACATAACATAACATAACATAACATAACATAACATAACATAACATAACATAACATAACATAACATAACATAACATAACATAACATAATATAACATAATATAATATAATATAATATAATATAATAAATAATATGTAGCAGTGTTCATTATATTTTATTATTTTATATTACCATTTAAAAGTGGTGTTTTTTTCTATTTAGCAAAGATGCATTAAAATCATCAAAAGTAACACTAAAGACATTTATAATGTTATAAAAGATAAACCTGCGTTATGTATTGTGGAGCAGGAGCTGGTGAGGAAGCCTCTGGACTAGTATGGATCTCTGTAGATGACCAACCAGTTCATCCACTGTCTGAACACACTCATTCTGAGGAACTCAGTCTCTCTCTTTCAGCTGGGACTCCATCACTGGAGCACACCATCTTCCTTACACCGATGTAAGTTCTTCCTGTTCTTTCCTTAATTAATTTCATTGAAAATAGTGATGATCAATATTGCGTTAGTCTAAACGAAACTAACTGTGTTTCACTGTGTCTGTAAACTGCAGCCTGAATGGCTCTGCCAAAGACCTGTTTGTGAAGCTGAATGGTAGCGTCAGCGGTGTGGACGTGTCCGTCTCAGTGTGTGTGTTCAGCATGCTGTGCCGGTTCTTCAGTGATGATGAGAGGCGCTGGAGCAGTGATGGCTTGAGTCCTCTGAGTGGCAGCAGCCCCCATACTGCCCACTGCCTCACACATCACCTCACTATGTTTGGAGCCAGCCTCTTCATCCATCCTGAAGCACTTCTACTGCTGCCACCTGTATGCCATTTTGTTTAAAGATATAACATAATTTCACCATTAAAGGGAATATACACTACTATTTAAAAGTTCAAAAGAAATTAATACTTTTATTCAGCAAGGATGCATGAAATTGATCAAAAGTGACAAGACTTTTAGATTGTTACAAAAAGTTTCCATTTCATATAAATTATTTTCATTATAATTATATTTTATTAATACAATGATTAATTAAATAATTGTAATTAATAAAATATTAATTACAATGATTTCTGAAGGATCATAATTTATCATCATAAATTACATTTTAATATCTATTAAAATAGAAAACATTAGTTTTTTATTGTAATATTTCATATTTTTTATATTTAGTTTTGATCTAATAAATACAGCTGTGGTGAGTGACTTCTTTAAACAACATTTAAAAATTCTTATTAACCCTAAACCTTTTAACGGTAGTGTGTATTACATTATTTTTTATTTAATCTATATAATGAAATGATTGTAATGGTCAGTGGGTGTCAGTGTTGAAAAAGTACTTTTCACAATATATTAAAATTGAAAATTTTTATTTTAAATTATAATAATATTTCACAATATTACTGTTTTTACTGTAATTTTGATCATACAAATGCAACCTGGTGAATATATAAGACTTCTTTCAAAAACAATAATAAAAAAAACTTACAGACCCCAAATGTTTTAACAATACTGTATGTAAACATGACAAACCTGACAAATCAGTGATGAACATTATTTATGTCACCAGTCAGAGGAGCCAGTGAGGAATGTGGTGGTGGGAATAATTTGTGGAGTCTTGCTGTTAATTTATCTGCTGGTTGGTCTTATCGCTCACAAACTGGATCACCTGGAAAGTCTACGTCTTAGCTGGGTTCCTCTGTGTGGTCAGAAAGGTCACTACAAGTACAGGGTTCTTGTCAAAACAGGCTGGAAAAAAGGGTCTGGTGAGTAGAACCTTTAATTTACATGCTAAAAATATTCATCGACCTCATAAAATTCAATGAACATTTGAATTCATCAGGTACCACTGCACATGTTGGCATTAGCCTGTATGGCCTGAATAAAAGTGGCTCACGTCACCTTCAAAGAGAAGGAGCTTTCCAGAGGAATAGCGTGGATGACTTCCAAGTTGAAACAGATGCCAATCTCGGAGAGATCTGGAAAATACGCATCTGGCATGACAACACAGGTCAGTGGCTGTGAATAGCTTCCTTCTTTCTTTCTAAAAGAACAAATACTCACAAACAATGCTCTATTTTCCAGGCCTAGACCCATCCTGGTACCTAAAACATGTGATAGTCTGGGACATACAGACAGACAACATGTTCTTCTTCTTGGTAGAAGACTGGTTATCTGTGGAGAATGAGAAGAACTCTGGAAGGGGGGAGAAAGTAATTTTAGCGTCTTGTAAGTATACACATGCAGTACAGCGTAAATCATATTTGCTTTTCATAACCTTGTGATCCTTGTAGGTCCTCAGGAGCTGCAGCAGTTTAAGAGGATCCTACATTCCCAGTTACTGTTTGGCCTTCGAGAGCACCATCTCTGGATTTCATTATGGGAACGGCCGGCCCACAGTCACTTTAGCCGAGCCCAGAGGGTCACCTGCTGTGCCCTCTTATTACATCTCTATCTGGCAGCTGGGGCAGTTTGGTATGGAGCAGTGGGCAGAAAGGGCAGCAGGTAATAGACTTGACCTTCAAAAGGCATGGATAACAGATTGAGCTTGCATAGCTTACAGTGTAGGTGCAGGTAATTACATCTTGTAAAACAAAGCTATTTCTGTTTTTCTCTGAGCTACAGAAGTCTTCGCTATTGATTAATGGCAAAGGAGAATAATATTCATCACTAAACAAATTAATGAATGTCCTCTCATTCCTCTCAAAACAAATGGGTTTCACATTCTTCACATTTGTTACTGTTCCGACTGCAGCGGCCCGGTCTCTACCCAGATGGTGATGAATGCAGAGAACATTCTGGTTGGAATAACAGTTGCAGCTTTGATGTTCCCTCTCCAAACCATTCTCAGATTTCTCTTCCAAAACACCAAAAGCAAGGTATATATGTCAGTCTACATAATCCCTTCTGAAACCATACTGTAGATATTATATTTTAAGTTAAACTACCGTTCAAAAGTTTGGGGTTAGTAAGATTTTTTTAATGATTTTGAAAAGCGTCTGTTTGCTCACCAAGGCTGCATTTATTTTGATCAAAAATTAAAATAAACAGTAATATTGTGAAACTTTTTTCCATTTTAATTTATTTTATTATGTAATTTTATTTCTGTGATGGCAAAGCTGCATTTTCAGCAGCCATTACTCCAGTCTTCAGTGTCACACAATCCTTCAGAAATCATTGTAATATGCTGATTTGGTGCTCAAGAAACACTTCCTATTACTGTCACAGATGAAACCAGTGCTGCTTAATATTTTTGTGGAAATCGTGATATTATTTGAAATAGAGATATTTCGCGACATTATAAATGTCTTTGCTGTCACTTTTGATTAATTCAATACATGCTTAATAAAAGTATTAATTTCTTAGTCTTAATGACCCAAAACTTTTAAGTGGTAGAGTGCATTCATAAAAAACCCACACTCATTGTGCAATGCTGATGGATTGTGTTGAAGGTGACATTGGCTGTATCTCTGCCTCCCTCTCCTGTGTCTCATACTGTGGAGATGGATGTTTTCCTCAGTCACCCAGATCTCTCCTGTTCATCTTTTCTGTCACTGCCGACAGACCCTGACTCTTCCATCTATGATGGGCCATCTCCTTTCACTGTGAGAGAAATCCATTCCCATGTTTAATTCATTGATTTTATAGAGAGTCGTCAAGCATCATTTCCTAAATCTGCATCTTTTTTCCCCCCTCACAGAATTCCCTGAAGAAACTAGATTCAGAGTTCTGGAATACTCCAGATCCTGGGAATGACCGGTACCAAGTCTATTCTACATGAAATTGCAGTACTACATCCCTTTAAACGGTTTATGTAAATATACAGTGTTATTTTACACATTTTACAGAATGGATCAGTGGCCATCATGTGAAAGTATATTTGGCCTGTCTGAGCTGACAGGAACCAGTCACCTTCTGAAGAGAAAAAAAGCCATTCTACAACTACATTTGTCAACTCCGACCTCTGACCACAACACCTTAGAGCCAATAAAGTCTTCAGGTTTGAAGACGCACAATCACTCTCTGGGATGAAAGATTCTGTCATTATTTACTCACCCTCACGTTGTTCCAAACCTGTATGAATTTCTGTGAACACAAAATATTTTTGTACTCTTTTCCATATAATAAAAGTGAATAAGAACTGGGGCTGTCAAAATCCAAAAGGACAAAAGTGCACCCTAAAAATCATCTATACAACTTGTTCAATATATTTTATGTTTTCAGAAAAAAAATCATACAGATTTGGAACAACATGAGGGTGAGTAATCGATTACAGAATTGTTTAGTTTTTAGGTGAATTATTTCTTATATGGAACCATTTGCTCTTTTTAGAGGAAGATCTTATCACTATAACTGCAGACTTGGATCCCTCAAACACACTTTCCTTGGAGCCAGAAGCATCTGACAGTGGCCATTTCACACCCAACGACACCATCCTGTCTGACATGTGAGTTCTGTACTGAATGTTTCACAGTTTAACCAGGATACGTGATCACATACATTTCTTTTTCAGCCAGGACAGCTTGTGTAGTGAGTGGTCTGATCTGAGTGTGGATACGCCTACATCTGAACCTGGCTTTCACAAGTCCTCCTCCTCACTCTCAGTGCTCAGTGATGCCAGCACATTTCTCCCTAGTCTCCCACCCGACTCTATAAGCACAATCTCCAACACACGCATTGGTGAGCGCACACCATACACAGGGAGAGAATTTATATTTTCAATTGAGATATTGAAAGGTGGTAAGACACATGCTACAACACGTTGTGCAAATTAGACTTGTGAACATGTGGTCATTTCCTGATCACAATACCAAAAGTTGGGGTCGGTAAGATATATTTTTGTTAATGTTTATGAAAGTTGCTTATGCTCACAAATGCTGCACTTATTTGATAAAAATACAGTAAAAACAGCAATATTGTAAATTATTACAACTTAAAATAACTGTTTTCTATCTTAAAGTATTTTAAAATGTAATTTATTTTTGTAATGACTGAATTTTCAGCAGCCATAACTCCAGTCTTCAGTGTCACATGATCCTTCAGAAATCATTTTAATATGCCGATTTCATGCTCAAGAAACATTTCTTCTTATTATATTTTGGTATACATTTATATTTATATTTATAATGGTATATATTTTCTTTGAAAAATAGAAAGTTCAAAAGAACAGCATTTTTTTAATAAAAAAAAATTGTCTTTACTGTCACATTTGGCCAATTTAGTATTAGACCAAGTATTAATATTAATAAAAAATAATTACTTACCACAACAGTTGAGTTTGAACAGTAGTGTATACATATTGAGAAAGAGAGAGAGAAAAACTAAATATCACAAAATATATAATCAAAATGTATGTGTATCATTTTAATTGTTTTGTCTGTGTGTAAACCTCTGTATGGGCTGTTCTTCAGGTGTTGTTCGTGGTGTACCTGGCTTGTTTCTTCCATCATGGGTTCTGCGTATGGTTTATCTGCTGGTGGCTGTTTTGCTGGGAACAAGCCTGGCTCTGGTGGGACTATATGGGAGCAGGTTTTCCAGCTCTGTGGTTCTCATGTGGCGCACACCATACACAGGGAGAGAATTTATATTTTCAATTGAGATATTGAAAGGTGGTAAGACACATGCTACAACACGTTGTGCAAATTAGACTTGTGAACATGTGGTCATTTCCTGATCACAATACCAAAAGTTGGGGTCGGTAAGATATATTTTTGTTAATGTTTATGAAAGTTGCTTATGCTCACAAATGCTGCACTTATTTGATAAAAATACAGTAAAAACAGCAATATTGTAAATTATTACAACTTAAAATAACTGTTTTCTATCTTAAAGTATTTTAAAATGTAATTTATTTTTGTAATGACTGAATTTTCAGCAGCCATAACTCCAGTCTTCAGTGTCACATGATCCTTCAGAAATCATTTTAATATGCCGATTTCATGCTCAAGAAACATTTCTTCTTATTATATTTTGGTATACATTTATATTTATATTTATAATGGTATATATTTTCTTTGAAAAATAGAAAGTTCAAAAGAACAGCATTTTTTTAATAAAAAAAAATTGTCTTTACTGTCACATTTGGCCAATTTAGTATTAGACCAAGTATTAATATTAATAAAAAATAATTACTTACCACAACAGTTGAGTTTGAACAGTAGTGTATACATATTGAGAAAGAGAGAGAGAAAAACTAAATATCACAAAATATATAATCAAAATGTATGTGTATCATTTTAATTGTTTTGTCTGTGTGTAAACCTCTGTATGGGCTGTTCTTCAGGTGTTGTTCGTGGTGTACCTGGCTTGTTTCTTCCATCATGGGTTCTGCGTATGGTTTATCTGCTGGTGGCTGTTTTGCTGGGAACAAGCCTGGCTCTGGTGGGACTATATGGGAGCAGGTTTTCCAGCTCTGTGGTTCTCATGTGGCTGGTGTCTGCCCTGTCAGCCTTCCTCACTTCTGCCTTGCTGTTCGAACCATTTGCAGTGAGCTATAAACCTATTTTGCACTGTTCCTTAGATTGAAAGATGTAGATTTTTATGTTCTGATATTTTTCTACAGATATGTATTCAGGCACTATATCTGGCTGCTGTGGTGAAACCAGTGGACCCAGAGGGGGAGAACCGTTTGGCTCAGGAGACAGAAGTCAGAAGGACAGAAGAGGATTTGGGGGATAAGGTGCATCCTCTCGGTGGATATGGCCTGCTGCAGGCTAAAGAGGAAGCACGGAAGCTGAGAACACTTAGAGCCTTAATGAGGGTGAGCTCAGACCCACAGATGAATCCATTCAGCACTCATTTAGTCCTCAGAGACCTATAACAGCTGGATTTCTCCTGCATTCTGACTCTAATGCATATTAATATTAATTTTAATGGTCTTTTGTTTCATGTTTTACACTGATAATCAGAGCTGCTTAGTCTATTTGCTCTTCCTGTTGGTGGTTCTGATGGTGAACTACCAGGAATATGTTCATGAGACTAACAGCAGACGGCTTCACTCGGCTATTAAACACACACTGATCAGGACTTTACCAGGTCAGCCCAGTCTCACTGCATTATCAGGGTAAGTCAGACTCTTTATATTCACTTCCCCCAGTAACCCTCGTTCTGCTGAAACTGACTCTGAGGTTCTAGAGACCCCAGAGATTTGTGTAAAAATAATTAGGTGTTGGTGTCTCTTTTAAATATGTTCCTCCGACCTAATCAAAACTTTAAATGCAATTCAGAAATGTGACTTTAGTTTAGTAATGCTGCTTAATTTTGAAGTCTGAGAGACCATATAAACGGCTTGAAAATTGGTTAGAAAAAGAGATTGCATTAGTTAGAGATGCAAAGTTTATTATAATAACAACAAAAGTACAAGATAACTAAAAAAAAACCCGGAACAAAAGACTGTAAGAAGAGCATGTTGGTGAAACATGCATGACAAAACCAGACAATGAACACAGGAAACACGAGGGCTTATATACACAAGGGTTAACTAGACTAACTGGACACATCCAGCAACCATCAGGCTAAGGGAAATGAGGAAACTGGAACAGGAACCAAGCAAAACTACAAAATAAGAGTCTGCATTACAAAACAAGGGCACAAAGAATGGAAGAATATATATTCTAAAAATGGATAAAACTAACAAAATGAATTGCAACTTGTCATGAATCAGTGAAAGTAATTTTACTTTAACCTTTTTTTTCTCATAGATGGATGGATGCAGAACAGTGGGTAGATGAGAGATTAATATCACACCTGTTTGAAAACCCTTCTCTTTCTTTAACTGGCCCTGCAAGACTGCAGAAAGTTAATTTTCAAGACTGTAAGGACTTACGTTGTTAGGTCAAATTTAGCTTTTTGAGAATTTACTAAATATATATATAAATATATAATTTGATTTTTCCCTCCTCAAAGTCTGCAGTCAAGACATCAGAGATAAGTTCCAATCTGGTCGACTTCCTTTGATGCTGACTGCTAATGTTTCATCACATGCCAACCCTGTACACCAGAGCTCCTCAACACACAGCAAGAACACTGCAGCACTTTCAACATGGTGAGAGATAACAGGACACTAAGAGAAAGACTTTTAGTGTGTGAATAAGTTGTCATGCAGCCTGAAAAGCTGAGAATATAACAATGTTTTCCTTAGTGCATTTGTCTTCTGGCATATAATCACAATGTCCTCTCTCAAGGCCGAGGACTGAGAGTGCATCATGTGCATTCAGTCAGATAGAGGAAGTAGTGCTTGGGAACAACAGTGAATTCACACGTGGGATACTGTCGGGCTTACATACAACAAAGTGGATGACAACAGGGTATGATGTCACGCCATTATACACAAAATAGCACTACAGAATAAAACCTTGTTCTCTAAATGTCCAGACTTGTACTTAGGACCTTTCTGCATGCATGCTATAAGTATGGAAGTTATATAGAGTTATTAGTACCAGAGACCCAGTATGCTCATCAGCTCAATGATTTTTGATTCTTATGTTTTCTGTGACAGGACAAAGGCAGTATTGATTGAGTTCACTCACTATCATAAACAGACAGGCGTCTTGGCACCAGTCTCTATTCTCCTGGATCAAACACAGACAGGCAGAATCCTTTCTTTCCTTTCCATCCAGCCTTTACACGTCTCTCCATTCTCTGGTCCAGACTTACACGTTACATTGACGGTACTGATTCTCCTAGTTCAGATTCAGTTTGAACAGAATCTTAAAAAATTGGATCTGTGGTCTTCTTGTGGACTTCTACAGGACTGTGACTGTATTAACAGCTTTCTTCTTACTAGGTTCTGCTACTGCTGTTTGCCCTGTGCTTTGTGAGTGCTGAAGTATGGGCCTTGATCAGAAAGCCAAGTCAATACCTGAGGCAAGCCTGGCGCTGGTTTCAGCCATTGTTAGCTCTTCTGACGCTAGCAGCAGCTGTTCTTCGTCTGTATTTCCTCTACACGACTGCAGCCTTCATCTCCAGACATTGCTCCAGGCCCTCCTGCTTTGCTGACTTCCATAGTGCTGCGACACTGGCCAAAAAGTCCAGTCAGCTCTCAGCAATTTTATTAACCCTCTTGGTTCTAAAGGTATTAGCCCTAAAGCAAAGGATTTTTTAAAACTAAATTTGCATTCCTAAATGAAATCCCAGTACATGCTGCAAAAATAGCATAAAAAATATGTTAAAGTTAATTGGCATGATCTGTTTTCTAAATGGATGGTAGTGATCTTAAATGCATGTTATTGATTTATTATTTCCTATCTTTCTTTTTTTATGTAATTTTATTCAAAACAAAATAACTGGATCTTTTGAAGAAACGACAGACTTCTCTCTGGTGAAACCTCACTCCTTTTTTAAATTTGACCTCAAGCTCACATTCAGACCTGCCTACATTCAAATGAACATATAATGCATTGAAGTCCTGGCACTACATTTTTTCCCTTTTTTTTCAATGATCCATTTTACTCGGATGTACCTCACAATATAGAAGAAGAGATCTGTCACTACTTCCTTTACATTACAACTTTAGCAAAGCTTGTAATCATTTAAATACAATACAAAATGTAAATAACATACTGTAAATATAGAAAGAAAATGGGAAAGACATTAACAGCATTATGCATATAACTACATAAAAATGAACTACATCATAATTTGTGACCAATCACAATTTAGCATGCAAATATTATTATGACACTTCACTTCAGCAGTATTAGACTAAGCTCATGGGAGATTTTAAAACATAAGCTTGCATTTCTTATAAAGTAAAACATTTATAAAGACGATATATATTTTAGGACACCTGTGACTTAAGATATGGTCTACAAAGCAAAAATTGAAAGTCATCTGTAATTTTTGAGTTGAATTAATTGCGGAAATGTTATACTTAAAGTACCTTGCAAGCACTGCAATGAAATTTATTCTGTTGAAGTCAAGCTCTGTTATCAAACAATCTGCTTGTCAGTCAAAGTGTAGTGCAGGACTTAGGAGAGTTGTGTTTTTACAGATGGTGGGGATCTTGCGGTTTGTTAGGCGATGGTTGGTGATAGGGCGGGTTATTCGACAAGTATTCCCTCAGATCTGTGGCGTGGTGTTTCTGCTGCTCCTCCTGTTGCTTCTGTTCTCTCACACAGGCATCATGGTAGAATGTTTTTTTTTTTTGTCGGTCATTTGACATTGCATTGTATTTTTTCTTTAAAGGGGTCATATGATGTTGCTAAAAAGAACATTATTTTGTGTATTTGGTGTAATGAAATGTGTTAATGCGGTTTAAGGTTAAAAAAAAACATTATTTTCCGCATACTGTACATTATTGTTTCTCCTCTATGCCCCGCTTTTCTGAAACGCGTCGATTTTTACAAAGCTCATCGGTCTGAAAAGCGAGGTGTGCTGTG